GGCACAGCTTGGTGCCGTTTCCCCTTGTTCTATCCCCCATCACCTGGGAGAAGAGCCCAGCACCCACCTCTCCACAACCTCCCTTGAGGCAGTTGGAGGTGGTGATGAGGTCTCCCCTCAGCCTTCTCTTCTCCAGGCTAAACAAGCCCAGTTCCCTCAGCCGCTCCTCATCAGGCTTGTTCTCCAGAGCCCTCCCCATCCTTGTGGCTCTTCTCTGAACACGCTCCAGAATCTCCACATCCTTCTTCTAGTGAGGGCCCAGAACTGAACACAGCACTCGAGGTGCGGCCTCACCAGTGCCGAGTACAGGGGGATGATCACCTCCCTAGGTATTCTTGCACCGTTTCTTTCCAGCAGCTGAAGAGAATCTGCTTTGAGTTGTTTGAGGATCTCTCGTGCAGTGCTCAGAACAGCGGAGTGCACTCAGGACCTGCTCTACTTCCCAGCTTGCAGAACCTCCTGTTTCCCTTTCGAAAAACGTAAGAACTTGCTAACAACTGGAATATTGCTTTTGAATGTGCCTTGCTCAACATGTTTTCAGTATAAGTCTAAGAATACCGCAGCTAGAGCTCAACCAGCACACCTTCTCTGTACCACAACCTTTAACCAAGTTTCTAACCGGTTAGTGACATGATTGGTTCTAACCAGGATGATTAATATTTAGCTGACTAGAAGGCAGCTAACAGTGTTTTACTCCTGCCAGAGGCTTAGGCTAGCACATGATTATCTTCTTACAGCTGGCTTGGCAGAAGTGTGTGTGTGTTGGTTTGTTTTTTTGTCAGGTTTTTGGGGTGGTTTTTTTTAGCCCCTTAACCATGTCTAACAACCAGTACAACTGGTCTGTCTTCTTCCTTTCTTGGAGTGTGCTTGGATGTTCCTAACTGCAGTGCTCCACAAGCGGCTTGTGCCAATACATACACACCCTTTTAGCGTTTCTCCACTTCCATAGACTTTGGGATAATGTTTGTCCCGAGCTTCCCCAAACGCACTGACAATATTAATGTGAGAAATACAGATGCATAAACAGGATTAGTAGAGTTGTATTGCAGAAAAACTGTTTTAGGAATACGATTCAAATTCCTTTCTTGTGAGCTCCTTAAGAAAACATTGTCTGCAGTATTTACAGTACAGGTGCTTTGTGTCACCACTGCAAGGTGTTACATCAAATTCTACCAGCTATTATTGTATTGATTTTGAAACAGAAAGAAAAAGTGGGGAGAGTTTACCTGGGACATTCATGAGGACAGGCATACTTGGGTTTTCCTACCCACTTATAACGCAAACACAGCCTGGGATGAATTATTTGACAGTGTAGGGCATGGCTTAGATTTGGGGAAATACGCAGCAGGAAGGTTATGGAGCTGTACCTTGCTGGTCGCCAGGGTTCTGAGCTGACCTTGCTAGCTCCTGTGTGCAAGACTTTAGAGCCAGCAATCAAAAAAATTAAAAATAATAATAATTAAAAAATAGATCAGTAATCAGAACTGAGCGAGGTTTCCCCCATCCTGTCCAAAACCTTTTCACGTCTTGCTTGGGCAATCCTTCCTTCATCTTTATCTTCACACACAATAGTGGAAAACAGAAAATCCTGTGCTTCCGCAAACAGCAGTTGAAACCATCCCAGAGGTATTATCTTAGAAACCAGAAAATGATTCAATGACAGGAGGAGTGAATCACATAAATACTCAAAGTGTTGTACCTCAGCAATGTCCCTCCCTTCTTAGTACAAAGCAAAGAACAAAAGGCTGCTGCCTGGCATGGGCCCCTCCTAGATGACTTACAGGGACTGTGAAATCATCAGAAGCCTCAGAAAGAAGTGCTTATGCAGCGTTTATGACTCGATTTTCTCCTCTTCAGTCCTCTGTAAGCATGGAGCTGGTAGCTGTCTTCTCTTCAATGCCTGCCTATATTCTAGAAGGCAGATGAGGAAGGGCATGGACTGAAGCAAATATTTCATGTTCACAGATTTCTGGATGGCTTTTACCTTTCAGAAACTTAAAATTGATTTTTTTTTCCCGAGATAAAACATATTGCATGGAAGGAGGGGCATACATATTAGAAGGTCATGAAAAGATGAAACCACATTTGTATTGCTGAGGATTATTTTAAACACTCTCTTAGAAAACAAGCGATGTGAAATTGTGTGGTCTGGTCAAATGGAAAGTTATAATGGGAGGTAAAAATCCCGAACAAGCCATTAGTTCCTGTCTGGCAGACAAACTGAGCTTGCTTTAGCACTTAGAGGAGCTTCAGTGAGAATGAAATATTGATCTCATATTGCTGGATTTAAAATGAAACGTGTGAGGTGCAAGAGTCAGAGTAAGCCACTATGGAAGGTATTCAGTGCAAATTGTTTTTGCACCGTGAAAGATCATTGTACAAAAGATGAAAAGAATTAAGGACCATAAAAAGAAGTAATTGCAACTGAAGTTTCCATTCTAAATTCAGCTGAAGATGTTTCATCTTCTTAAGCAAGTATTATGAGTTCATGTGACTCTCCTCACACTCTGGCCTGTGAGGTTTCCTAGGATTGCTTCGCCTTCGCTGTCAACTCTCTGCAAGTCCTTAGTTTTAATGGTTTATTCAGTAAAATGAGAGTACACCACAACTGCTCTGCATTGCTTGAATGTCTCTTTGACAGTTTTTTGTCTCTCTTGTTTTTCTGCACAGTGTGCTTTTCACTCCGGCTCTTGTGACATCCGTGGCAAATGTCTGTGAGGAATTGCCCGGGGCCAGTGTGACTTTCAAAGGATAAGACAATTTGTTACCTTGCCAATGAACAGTTTATTACATTTCTAATTATTGTTATTAGTCTGGCAGGTGGTGCCATGCATGATATTTTTACAGCTGCCAAAGGTGCAGGTACCTCTTTCATGACAAAATATAACCTGAGTAAGGTTTAAAGAAAAAAACAGGCACTCTGCTGTTGCATGTGTTTGATAATTCTCTGCTCTACCATGGTATATATGGCACCTGGCTGTTTTTAAATCTTAAGCTGAAACAAAGTGACCCTTGAAAGACCTTGTTTTGAGACCAATTGCAATTAGAGTGTGTTAGCAGCCTCAGTTAGATACGAAGGTATCTCTCCTTCCCTCTCAAGCTCTTTCCTCTAATCTTTATTCCTTGTTGTGTAAATTAAAGACTTATTTTATTTATAAACTCTAACTCAGAGTTCATGGTAATCACCACCCAAGAATACTAAATATCCTTTTCCAATGAAGATCCAAGTTCCTGAACGCAGAGACTTCACTTCCTCTGGTTTGCAGGGTTGCATGCCGCCAGATTCAAGAAATAAGAAGAATAGAAGCAGTTTGTGCATTTCAGAGATGGGTTAATGCAATGCCATCCTGTCCCTTTGCAGAACCACAGGCCAGTTCCACCCATCGCTACCTGTACACGTGGTTTATAAATGATGCCTTTCGCTCTGCCATGTAATGCGTGGCAAAACGTACTTTCTTGAAAGTTTCACGTGGCTTATTCTATTCCAGTGAATACTGAATTGTTTCGTGTCACACTGTTACTAAAGAGAAGAAGTTAATTCAGAAGCAATGGAACTAGGAGATAAATTTGCTGTTTTCACAGCCAGCAGTGTGTTGGATCGTATGTAAGCAGTATTGCAACAGCAGCTACTTTGTTCTTATCCACACGGCTGCTATCTTAACAGACAGGAAGCATGTTTTTCTGTCATTTCCATCACACAAAGAAATTTGTTATTGTAAATAAATAAATTAATTAATTGATTCTTTTTGTATAGAACCCTCTTTGCTTCTTCCCTGTTTGCCCAGAACTATAGAACAATCATATTCAGGGGAAGCAGACGCTTAGATTTGTTACAGTTAACCCAACTGTATTTTACATATTACACTCCCGTTTGAGGAAGTAAGGAGACAGGACAGTTTTCTTGTCCAGCTCCATCTCTTTTCCCTGCCTTGACGTTTCATGATACGGCTGCATTGTGACAAGACAACAAACTTCCTTAGTGCCACATTTATGTCCTGTGAAAATGGAAAGTAAACTTGCGGCGACAGGCAATGAAGTGGCGTGTCCTGTAAGGAAAATGAATTGATACAATCGTTTAGCACAAGACGTAGTGTTTTTGTCTCTGTGACTCGGAGGAATTGCAGCTGGGCTAGAATGGTTTCGGGATTTGGCTGGCTTACGTATGCACCTGCCAGGGCTCCAGGTAAGAACCAATCTTGCTGGAGCAGAGAGCATGGGCATGTTTTGGAGTCATTCCCTGCAGGGGCTGTTCA